GCGGGTTGGAGAGCCGGCACCCCTGAAGCCCCTCTCCTCCTTCCTCGGGGTCGCCTTGGTTCGTGCGTGTCCGCCGGGCGCAGGGCTGGGGCGGGAGTGGGGTCTTTCTCCAAAACGTACGCCCTCTTCCTCAGGGGCGGGAAACGCGGGCAGCGCTGCCGTTGACCATTTTTAAAACGAAAATGTTTTATAACAAAAAAGGCAAAAGTGAATGCCAAGGTTCTTTATGTCCTATAAAATTTAGAGGTGACCATGCATTGTCCCCGATGAGCCTTGCTTACTAAAGGTGGCGTTGGAAAGCTCCTGACGGTCGCGTGTGTTTTCCCGTGAAAGCTAAGAGTAAGTGGGGAGCCAGCCTCAGGGCCGAGCCCAGCGGAGAGCGCCTCTCCCCCGCCTTCCAGCAGTAGCCTTGCGCCGCTTCCACAGGCTCAGACGGCCTCCTTTGAGCGAGGGGGGCGTTGGGCATTCGTCTCCTTCCGTTGTCCTTTATCACCTCCGTGCCCTTTCCTCATTCAGCCCGCGTGTCTGGAAGTAAGTGCAGGAACGCCCACCGTGTTCCGCGCCCGGGTGAAGCTGAGGCCCCGGGGTCCCCGTGGCTGGAAGCGTGCTCGCTTACCGTCGAGTAACGCAAGGGCATTGCTCTCACACTCATGAATGCAGAAGGCAGGGCTGGCCTGGCCTGGAGGGCACCACTGAGTCTCCGAGGCTCAGCCCTTTGGGCTTCGGACCTGCTGAGGTTAGATGCGGGGGGTGGCGGGAGTATTACTCTTGGACAGGTCCACACCGAGCAGAACTTGACAGTGCCCCTAAGTGGAACTAATGAAATATTCCTGGGGGAAGGTAAATCTTGCCAAGGAGATCCCTCCTCCAGTGACAGTCTTGGAGCATCTTGCTTTAATTTTATTTAGGAAAGTAATCTCTTCATAATACATTATGTGTAGGACCTGTAACTAGGAGAACTCATGGGCTCCTTTTATTTTTTATTTTTATTTTTAATTATTGTTTAAAATATTACAGATGTCCCTTTTTCTCCCCAATGACCCGTTCCACCCCGTTCCTTCCCCCTCCCCAGTTCCTCTCCCCACCATTGTCCATGTCCTTGGGTTGTGCATATATGCACATAAATTCTTTGGTTACTCTCTCCCCCTCCACCCACCCATCCTCCTCCATCCCTCTGACATTCCTCAGTCTGATCTATGCTTCCATGTCATTGAATCTATTCTGTTCATCAGTTTATTAAGTTCTTTAGATTCCACGTATAAGTGAGATCATGTGATATTTGTCTTTCGCTGCCTGGCTTATTTCACTTAGCATAATATTCTCCAGGTCCATCCCTACTGTCCCAAAGGGTACGAGATTCTTCTTCTTTACAGCTGCGTAGTATTCCA